CTCTAAAAAAAACAAAAAACAAAACCCACAAACAAACATCCTAAAGAACAAAAGGAGAAGAATTTTAAGGGTACAAATTTTGGTGATATTCTCAGTCAAGTGGGTCTTTTGCTGTCCCTCAAATCATAACACATAGATAACCATCATATGGGCTTATGCTTTGGCTGGCTTGATTACATCAAAACCATTTATAACATAGGACACATTTTCTTACACTTTACAAACCTGGAGAGGGGAGGAAAGTCGGCAGAGAGGAGTCCACCTTCTTACTAGGGAACCCCTGTATCTCATAACCCACTAGTCACAAAGATGGCGGTTCTCTCTAGCCTGTCCAGCTGTTTGTCCTAGTATTGGCATTAAATCTTCCCCTTAAAGCACAAAACACTTCTCATTTTCAATTTTTCAGCTGCAGAGGGATTGACTACACTGTTGCTACCAAGAGCAAAGCCCAGAGTCCAATTTTGAGACCTTGATTTTCATTATGTTTTCAAATGCTTAAATCAAGCCTTCTTTCTCTTACCCGGATTTCCTCTTTCGCCTCTCTGCTTCTCTCTTTGCATAGTTTGTCTTAACACCTGAAGAAAAAACATTTAAATGCAAAGAGATAAATGGATGGTAATCATTACAAATGACCCATTAGAACTGGAGCTGTTCAATCTGCTTATTTGAATGTACAAAGGCGGTTCTCTCTTCTGAAATACTACACTGAACAGGTAAGAGTGTATTCAGATATAATTTCATGTGATTACTCTATAATAGGAGCTTCTAGCCACAATTCTCTATCAGGTGTTGTTAAGCACACAAACTGCCTACCAATAAATCCTGTCCATCAAATTTTATTTTTCTTTCACAAAGATTCTACTTTGCAGGCAAACTCTGGGAACGTTGCCTACCTATTAAAATGGCAAGAAAAGAAAATCTGAAATTGAGAGAGAAGAATCTGGAACAATCTTTGTCACAAAAATTTGTCCTGTGTCAAAAGTATTTCCTCCTTCAGGAAAAATTACCTAACAAGGCAGAAGGAGTAGTAGTGAAAGGCAAAATTAAATAATTAAATACAAAAGCAGAAACACTAAGTTGTTGCTATTATGGACTCATTTTGCACTGAATTAACCAATGAATGTTTTTAACTAATACTGAAGAAAGGGCAGCCCAGTTTGAGAAGACTGGTTTAAAAACCACTTTTATAGGGTGTCTGGGTGGCTCAGTTGGTTAAGCAGCTGCCTTCAGCTCAGGTCATGATCCCAGGGTCCTGGGATCGAGTCCCGCATCATGCTCCTTGCTCAGCGGGGAGCCTGCTTCTCCCTCTCCCACTCCCCCTGCTTGTGTTCCTGCTCTCGCTGTCTCTCTCTCTGTCAAATAAATAAATAAATCTTAAAAAAAAAATAAAAACTTAAAAAAAATTACTTTTAGGGGCACCTGGGTGGCTCAGTCATTAAGCGTCTGCCTTTGGCTCAGGTCATGATGCCAGGGTCCTGGGATCGAGCCCCGCATCAGGCTCCCTGCTCGGCGGGAAGCCTGCTTCTCCCTCTCCCACTCCCCCTGCTTGTGTTCCCTCTTTCACTGTGTCTCTCTGTCAAATAAATAAATAAAATGTTTAAAAAAAATTACTTTTAAATTACTTTTATCCATTATTTACTCCTGAAGCAGGGATTCTTATCCTGAAACCTTGGATGGGCTTCAGGGTCCTGTGAATGCTCAGAAATTTGGGGGTGTTCTTAAGTATATTGGGCTCTTTTTCCCCCCCTGGGAAATGATCTGTAGTTTCTGTCAAATTTTCAAAGGGGTCTAGTCTAAGAATCAGTGTTCTTAGAAGATTCTTTAAGGCACATGGAAAAGTTGGATACATTGATTTCAGTTAAACCTTGGTGTTTGTGAGAACAAAGATGTGCATTTGAGGTATCTTTCTCTGGAAGACAAAGATCAGGCTTGTCTGGACAGTTGCAACAAAACCCAACAGGAAAATTAGAGAATAGCTGAGAACTGGATTGAGGCAAGCCCCTTGTATGAACTATGGTAACACTCAATGCTGTACCAAATCATCATCATCATCATCATCTCAGTAACTTAAGGTAATAAAAATTTACTTCTCATTCACACCAAGTCCAATTCCTGGTCAATAGGCAGCCTTCCATGTGGTCATTCAGGGATCCAGGATCTGCATCCTATGGCTCTTCTTTTTTTTTTTTTTTTAAGATTTTATTTATTTATTTGACAGAGAGAGAGAGACAGTGAGAGCAGGAACACAAGCAGGGGGAGTGGGAGAGGGAGAAGCAGGCTTCCTGCTAAACAGGGAGCCCGATGCAGGACTCAATCCCAGGACCCTGGGATCATGACCTGAGCTGAAGACAGACGCTTAATGACTGAGCCACCCAGGCAGTCTGGCTCTGTCTTCTTGTATGGTCTTGGATTCCTCTGTTAAAAAACCTTGGTATCTTGCCATAGGTAAGGGAGGAGAGAGAGGCATGGAGGATCACATGAGGATTGGACATCATTTTATTCACATTCCTTCAGGTAAAATTCAGTCACATAACCAAACCTAACTATAAGGAAGGCTGGAAATTGTAGTCTAGCTGTATATTAAGTGGGGGTAGAAGAAATGACTTTTGGTGAACACAATAGCATTTCTGCCCTATCCTCTTAAATGAAGCCACAGTACCACGACCAGAAAGAAGTTGGAGGTGAAGACATGCTGCCTTAGATACTGGGAGAAAGTCCACTGTCATAGGCAGACCAACATACTCCCCCAACAGTAAGCACTAGAGGCAGGAGGTCGAAAAGTGTCCAGAGGATAGGACAGACACAGTGGCATAAAATTTAGGAGCAAAAATGCTCAGAAAGTCAGGCATGGAGGCAAGAGGCATTTGGGAATTCAGTGATCCATAGCAGAGTCCAAGTCACCTAATTAGTATTCAGGAAGACCTAGGGCGAGGAGTGGAGGATAAGAGTCCCGCCAGGCATCTCTACCTAGAGTGAGATAACCCAGAGCAGGAAGGTTACATTACAGAGATGAGGGCTGCACACAAAGGTAAAGAGGACAGATTATTTGTGAGGTGACTCCATCATGAACAGAATGCTGAACAAGGGCTATTTAAATTCCTCCTGTCCAAGGTCAGGAATGGTCCTAGAGATGTGCAGAGCCTATAGACAGGGGTCAACTATCAGGAGAAGCTCATGGGAACCTGTTTAGGCCTGATATGATCCACCCTCAAATGTTACCAGTAACTTCATACTGTTTCCCACTCACAGACAACAACCCTAATGAACCCCAGCTTCCTCACAAATATCCTGGGATGAAAAAGGGCAATGAATTAGTACAAACCCTTCAGGGAACAGAGCAAATGCTTCACTAACAGTGACATACTTGCTTATAAGTAATAAATAATAATTAAAAGTAACAGTTGACATGTGTAAGACATAGTTCTTGGGCTTTCATATATATTTACCCACTTAATCTTGACAAAAGTGTTTATTTGAAGGAGGTATCTCTACTACCTCAATTTTACAGATTAAAAGCTGAGCAATGAGGCTTATATGTAACTTGCTCAAGTGAGTGGCAGAGGTCTGGCTCCAGAGTCAATGACCTTCCCCACTGTGCATACTGCTTTTCTCAGAAAGTCAAATTTGGCCAGAATTTCAGATAACATTTTACTCCCTTGGTGAAGATGCCTTCACTCCCTTGGTGACGGACACACCATGTAACGCTCCCCAGAGATCTCATCCACCATTTTGTTTCCAGAGAACTGCCCCATCCTTTTGGAATGAAGACTAAGACATGGATATCCAAAGAATGTCTTGGACAGTTCACTGGAGTGGCTATCCTCTTAAAGAATGTGTGCTCTGCTGCAGTAATGAGCTTTGAAGTAAAATAATGTCACAGATGAATGCAGACTGTCAGCGTTGGAAGGGCCACCAGTCCTCCCCATTTTAGTGCAGTGAGGTTGAGTAGCTTGCATAATGTCCCTTAGGAATAAAAGCAGGTTGTCCCAAGGTCCACGGTAAAATACTTGCCTCCTTACCTCAGATCATTTTCTGTACTCAGCATACAGGATCATGAGGGTTAAGAGCCAGAAACTGCTGACAGTGATGTGACTGCATTCATTTTTAGGTTGCTAAAGGGACTGTGAAAAAGAAAAGGGTTCAACTTCACAGAATTTACTTTCTATGAAATGAGAAATCCAATGTCTGATATAACTCACCAGGAAGTCTATCCTTCCAGGCATTTATTCATTCCTCCCAGCCTTTATCCTACCATTTATTCATCTGTCCGCCCATTCATCCATTCAGGCATTAATTCATTCATTCCAAAATATCTACTCTGCCAAAATTTGTGCTAAATCCTGGGTATTTTTAGCACCCTCAATCAGTAGTTTTCTTTCTGCCTGGTTTTCAAATTGTGTTAACAAGCCCAGTGTATTGGATTCCAGTACATTTCATTATAAAATGACCTTTATATTAAATATGTTTCAGGAATCATAATCAGGCCATTAATTGTGGTAGAGTTTGCAGCTTCTACCCATTAATCCAAAGAAAAGAGTTCAGTACGGATTATTTCCTTTTTTGCTCAGGACCTCATTTTTGGCCCCAAGCTGTCTTTTATAGACCATAGTCTCCAGCGAGACGTGGACAAGTCTTAGTCAACAGTAAATTGCCCTCAGTACCAAAGAAGTCCTCCAATATCTGCAAATGTCCATGAGAGCTGTAAGACCCATGCTGTCCTTGCTGAGAAGTACATCCCACAGGGATAAAACTATGTATTCTCAGTTCTCTTGGAGGACAGTAGAAAGAGGATTTCGGCATCCTGCTGCCCGCACCAGTTAGTGCAATTCTGCCTTGTGCTCTAAATAATTCTACTCCCCTGGCCCAGAGTTCTACTGGCTGTAAGAAGTCTAAAATGATTTAGCTCAGCATTTGCTTCTGCATCACATGAGAACATTATATTCTGATGGTAGTAAAGGAGGGGACTACTCAGGAAAACAAAGCACAATGTCAGGTGCCAACATTCTGATATATTTATTCATGTTTGTATTTGTGGATGGAAACTTTTTCCATGCTACAAAGTTCTGTTAGAAACAAGATGCTACAAATCAATAAAGAATAGCTATAGTTATTGCCTATTAGAATAACAAACAGAAAACCAACAGATACAACTAATTTGGTATACACAGACATTCAATTTTTTTCTGCTCCAAAACTGATATGAACACCACCATTTTAATTCCTTTATGGCATTTTCTCTGGAGATACAATTTTTTTTTTGAGATACAATTTCTTATTGCCCATTGCTTTGTGCTTCTCTTACCAGTTCAGGTTTGTAGCATACCAAAGAATTACAGAAAACTGTTTTTCTACCAAAGAGGGGCTAGTTGCCACCATGTGGTCATTCATATATTACAATGAAAAAGAAGCAAGGTACAAAAATTAATGTATGCTTGTGTGTGTGTGTGTGTTTTGTGTATGTGTCTAATGTGTGCTGAAGCCTGGGAATACTGAGTATGAAAGGCTTTTAACTAGCTGGTCATCAAAATCATATATAATAGCTATTAAAAACTCACTTAGCTAGCAGCTTGTAAATCACTGGGGTTGGTTACTCAACGACTAGACAAACAGATTTCTTGGATCCTGTTTCCACTTGGGTTTTCCAGTTCATACGGTTCCAGCTGGCGGTACTCAAAAGTCACACGATTTATGTGCTTTCCGCTGGACACCATGCGCACCACCGTGTTGTCACAGCCAATTTTCATTTGGGCTATAATTCATGAAAAAAGTAAAAGGTTCCCTGCAGGTTAGAAACCACACAAACCATTTCCATCGATAAGATCATTTAAACACAAAGAAAGCGAGAGGATGTAGCTCCTCTCACATACTCAAACCATGCTCCTGCCATCAGATGAAAAGTTCTGTTTGCATTTTTATTATAATATATAATTAATTGTAGAATACTGAAAGTGAACTCAGTTTTCCTCATGTGCAAAAACACTGTTAGCCAAATAAAACTGGCTGGAGGGGCACCTGGGTGGCTCAGTCATTAAGCGTCTGCCTTCGGCTCAGGTCATGATCCCAGGGTCCTGGGATCGAGCTCCGCATCAGGCTCCCTGCTTGGTGGGGAGTCTGCTTCTCCTTCTCCCACTCCCCCTGCTTGTGTTCCCTCCCTTACTGTCTCTCTCTCTCTCTGTGTCAAATAAATAAATAAAATCTTAAAAAAAAAAAAAAAAAAAAAACTGGCTGGAAAGAGGAGTTAAAAAGAAAATCACAGGGGGAAAAAAAGAAAGAAAGAAAATCACAGGCCCAAAATGGTGCCCTTTAGGCCAACGTATGAAACTGGGGCTTAATACCTAATCTAATTGTAATTTCAACCTCCCCCAGAAAGGTAGCCTTAACCAGTCAGTCAGGAATTTTTCTATCAGTGTCAGCGAGTCAGCTACAGGGGCTCTCTCCATCCCCCAAAAGGAGGATGAGGCAATCTGCATGACAAGACACCTTGCTTTTCCCCCTAAGGGAAAGTGCCCTTGTCTGGAACAATCTTTTTCTTTTGCCAAATTTCTTGCCCCACCCTCCTTCTATAAAAACCTTCCATTTTGTACAATGCCTTGGAGACCCCTCTACCTGCTAGATGGAATGTTGCCCCATTCATGAATTGTTTAATAAAGCCAATGAGATCTTTAAAATCTATTCAGTGGAATTGTTATTTAACAGAGGCAATAAGATGTCTCTGCACTTTTCATGTTCTCCTACCTGCAAGGCTTCCGTAGTGCAGGCAAGCTGTCTACCTACCCCTACACCTCTGCTCTAGCTCAGTGTTCGCAGCAGGAGCAGTACCGCCCTCTAGGGACAGGTTGGAAATTTGCAGGGGCAGTTTTTGGTTGTCATTATCTGAGGATGCCAAGTGGCATTTAGTGGACAGGGCTAGAGGATGGAGTGTACTGCAGGATTTTATGCCGACTAAAAAAAAAAAAAATCACCCGTTTATTATTTTCTGAGCCTAGATAATAACTCTGTTTACATAAAAGCAAAAAATAATTTGCATAGTTTAGATATACACTAATATACTTGTTTTTGTTCTATTGTCCACCTGTACCTTTTGACTCATTTTTTCTGTGCTTCTTATATGGAATGGCTTTTGATATCCTTACTTCTCTTAAATCCAATCTTATTCATTATTTGTTTTTTTAAATTGTATTATTTGTGTAAGCATCTGGCAATGTTTATGTATATCTTCTAGTGCAGCTGTGACCGAACACTTGTATGTTAAAACTCATAGTAGTTTTATCGAAAATTTCTTTTATTTCTCCCTTGTCAAGCTGGGTCCTGAGGCAAGATTTATCTGCCTGACAATAATTTTTTCTGTTGTTTTATTTTGTCTGTCTCCCCCCGACCCCTTGTCTCTGTCAGGCCTACAGCCTGAGAAACACTAGCATTATTATTGCATGACAAATGAAGTAAAACAGCCAGATACTTAATTGAGATAAAAGTCAATTTAGAGACATAACAAATATAAACCCTATAATTATTTTTATATAAGCACCTGGGAGTCTTGGTTAAGCGATGAGGAGATCCAAATTTAATTTTCTTTACATGATTTGGAAGGTTATTCTTTTTCTGACCTTACTCTAAACTTTAATATATATATCAGGATCCATTTCCTTTGTTATGTGCACCTGATTTACTTATTATTTGACATAAATGCACCAAAATTACTCTGGTTTCAGTAACCTAAATTTTAAGGCACGAGTATTCCTTAGACCTTAATCTATTCTTCTTACCCAGAGCAAATGCATCTCCTCACAGGTGCCCTCCTGCATGGAAGGATCCAGTGCTTCAGAGAACACAGTAAGAGACGAGAAAAGCCACATGGACTGACTGTTTAAACCAGCAATTCCCAGCCACCCTCACCCCACCTGACCATCATCCAATGGAAAATCGTCACTGATCCCTCACAAAGAATATCTGGTTCTGTTTGGCATGCTGTGTACTAAACTGGTCTTTCATTACCAGTGACCACTTTTAGGTTTCAGGACGTATTTCTGCTTTTGCCCCTAGAAGTTGGGGACATTTAGCAAGTCTGAGAATTTCTAATAAAGCATATAACTTTTTAATTTATGTACTATGAGTAATATCCACATACACATTCCATATATATATATGGAAAAGTTATTTGGATATTACTCCATTATTTAAACAAGATATTACTTCTTTATTATACTCTTACTAACTGATGATACATCTATCTGAAGCATAGTTTTCAGTTAGTAAACTCTCTCGTCTTTAGAGGATGAAAGCAGGCACCTTCAAGAAGGTGGAAAGAGCACAGAACATAAAAACTGTCATTTTCATGGTTTTCTTAGGGCCAACCTTAAACACGTACCCTTCTTTCTTCAAAGCTTCCTCTCCCAGGTTCAGATATTTTGGTAATGCCTTGTCAATACCATACATATGCTCAAATGTAAAAATCCTTACATTGGCTCAAGGTGCAAAACCCAAGTTTTTAGGGTGGAAATTGCCTTCCCATGTATAAAAAAAATCTGAGGTGTTTTATTTAAGGAAGTATCAAGTTTTATTTAAGGAATCTTGACAGGCTCATAAATAATAATCAAAGAAATATCTCACCAGGGCCATGAAAGGAATAGCAGAGGTCAGCCAAAGGCATCATCTTGGAAGGGTCCAGCCCAGGTCCTCCCAGCAGCTCCACAAAGTCTCCTATTCCCCCACAACCTGCTGAGGGGTTCTAAGAGAATAAAGCAGCAGAGGAAGATATATTTCAACCAATTACAGAAGTCAGACCATTTGACCAACCGCAAGGTGGTGAATTCCCTCAATCAGCCTTGCCATGTTGGCAGTGCCATTTAATTGAACATCCAGGACTCCGGAAATGAAAAGACATTTATAAGGAAAAAAAATCGTAAGAACTGCTCTTCTAAATCAGTTGAGCAATCATTTTCTTTAAATGTGTGTGCATTAAAAAAAAAAAAAAATGTTATAATCTCAAGGACCGGAATGATGAAATGGGAATCTGTAAACTCCACATAAAATGAATGAAAATTGAATCTGAAAATGCTTTGCTTTTTAAATAAATCATCTGGACATACATATGGAATTATTCGAATTTCTTAATGCATGCAGTCAGCATTTATAAACAGGGCTTTCACATCAGTTTTTCCTTCAACTCACCTCTTTTCCTCTTCTTTATTTTTTTTTATTTTTTTATTTTAAAGATTTTATGTATGTATTTGACAGAGACAGAGATAGCGAGAGCAGGAACACAAGCAGCGGGAATGGGAGAGGGAGAAGCAGGCTTCCCCTCAAGGAGGGAGCCCGATGTGGGACTCGATCCCAGGACCCTGGGATCATGACCTGAGCCGAAGGCAGACTCTTAACGACTGAGCCACCCAGGCACCCTTTTCCTCTTCTTTAGAAAGGACTTAGCCTGATCTTGGGACAATCCTTATCATTTCTACTAATGGGCATTCAGATTAGTTCTAAGAATGTTAAAGAAAGAATAGAGCCCTCCTTTGGGGCTCAAGGTAGGTAGAGTTACCAGGGTCTTTCTCCTCCCAACTAAAACAAATTTATTTCAAGCTACTCAAAACCAGAATGTATTCCAGAATGTAATCCACTGTTAACTGTTTTCCACTCCCTTCATCCTTTCCACACTGCCTTGTCCACAGCAATTCCTACACTTCACTTTCCCACAAAAATAAAGCTGCTACTCTCAGTCCCAAAGGTTGCACTTTGGGCTACCCAGCTCCTGTGATCAGGGCTGCTGGCCTCGTTGGCATGGCCCCCTGTGCCCACGGGCCCACACTTACAAGGGCCTTGTGCTTGGCTGAAGGCTCTGCTGTCACCATCCTGAAATTCCTAATAACTCTAAAATAAGGGCCCACACATTTTCATCTTGCACTGTCCCCCATAACTACATAGCTAGCTTTGCCTGTGATCCTCTCCTTCACTGAGGCACACTATCGCGAGATCTAGTGCAGAGTGGCAGGGTGCTCAGAGGTGAACCACGTAGACCCTGCCACATAGGGAACAACATCTAAAATAGAAAATGTTAGGGGCACCTGGGTGGCTCAGTCGGTTAAGTGTCTGCCTTCAGCTCAGGTCATGATCTCGGGGTTCTGGGATCGAGTCCCATGTTGGGCTCCCTGCTCAACAGGGAGTCTGCTTCTCCTTCTCCCTCTGCCCCTGCTCTCTTGCTCTCTCTCTGTCTCAAATAAATAAATCTTTAAAAAATAAATAAAATAGAAAATGTTAAACACACACATATATAAACACACATTCAAACATCTAGAAGACACTGAAATGCAACTAGAACTAAACAACAATTTAGGAAATAATATATAACACCAACTGTCTGGCTAATACAAGGAAGGAGGTGAGGACATACATTTTTTAAGTGCCTACTCTATCTTGGGTCCAATGCTTAGATGCTCTACACATAATTTCATCCAATAATGAAATAGAGGCTTAATTAGCCCTCCTGTGTACAGGGCTCATGCTCTTGTATCAAGAGTTGAGTGAGAGGTGAAGGAAAAAAATCTTAATTGCCTTTCCCTTCAGGAGAGGATATCCAGGGGGAACATCCCTTAAGACTAAACTTTCCACTTGGTTCTTCAGGTTCTAAATTTCAGCGGGAGGTGGTGAAGGGGAGAAGGCAGGCCCCAGAGAGAGAAATGGGAAGTAAGGAAGTTGGGAAGAAGTAGGAGCTAAAATGAGGGAACCAAGCAGAAACAAAGAAGTTGGACACACCTGTTCCTTGATGTTCAATGACTTTTCTCTGCTCTTCCCAAACCTCTCAGCTAGTCTTAGGAATGAGAAGTACTACACTACCCTGCTGTGTTCAGCTCCTCGGCAACAAGCTCCTAGATTTCTCTGTTGAGGTTCTGGCTCTCTGGACTAAGCCACTACCATCTCTTGCCTAAACTGTGACAATGGCCCTTCCCGCACCACTCTGGTCCCCACAGCCCCTTCACCAGCCAGAATGGCCTTTAGGTAAGCCTCTCCCTCTCGCCCCCCCTCCCCCGCCACGGACCTTGTTAATTAATTGGGTCACGAGATCAGCAGTTCCCAACCACCCTCACCGGACCTGAGCATAATCAAATTGATTATGTCGCTTTCCTGCCTGTACCCCTTCAGTGGTTTCCCAGTGCACTTAGAATAAACTCAAACTCCTTCATATGCCCTGCTGGGCTCTCCACACCCTGGCTCTGCCCTTCTCCCTGATGCTGTCCAGTATTCCCCGCCTCCCACTCTACCTTTCTATTTCTGGAAACCAGCAAGCCCATTCCTCCCTCTGAGTCTCTGCATTATTGTCCCCTGTGTTCCTGGCTTTTCCAGGGGCTGCTGGCTCCTTCCTACCTATCAGTCACATTTTACTTTAAACGTCTCCTTCTCAGAGGTTTTCTTTCCTGACCACCTTACCTCAAGGAGCTCCCCTTGTCTATCACAGCACTCTGCCTCATTTTCTGTTGGGCACTCATCACTATTTCGAACGCATTACACTTTTGCTTATCTCAACCCACTAGAGTGCAGCTTCCATGTGAGCAGGACCTGTGTGGTTCATTGCTATTTCCAGCATCTAGAATAGTGCCTTGCACATAGGAAGAACCCAAAAACCACTTTGTAAAAGAATAGATGTTTAGAACACTGCAGACTTCAACATTTTTTCAAGGGGAAACGCCAAGATTACTCCACACAGCTAAGAACAACTAACGTGCAGATCTCCCAGTCTGGGATGGTGCTTGCCATCCATCTTCTGTGGTAAACATCAGGATTGACATACAAACAATCTCAGGCAAGAGGGCTACGCCAAAGACATCTGCTTATTCTGGTCTTTATCAAAGGATTATTCTTCTACTAAGGCCCAATCAAAACAAACAAACAAACAAACAAACAAAAACAGGCACTGGCCCATGAAATTAGGGCTTAATGGAAATTAGATATACACCTTTCTTCAGTGCTGGTCCTATTTATTTGGTTTTCACTGAAACCTGCCTGATTAGGAACAATGAATGTCTTTGATGTCAGCAAATATATCAGCCATCTTAACCAAGGAATATGAAAAAGTGAAAGAAAATGAGAATGACTCAGAGTGAAGAAGCCGGCAGTACCAAAAAAAAAAAAAAAAAAAAAAGTGGTCAAACTCAGCATTAATTGTGGAGTCCATACAGAAGTCCATGGAAATATAGACTGATAGAGATTCTCAACTAATATTTTCATGCCAAATGTATTGAACTAAATGTAATGTAAAGAAGGGGTGCCTGGGCTCAGTCGGTTAAGCATCTGCCTTTGGCTCAGGTACTGATCCCAGGGTCCTGGGATCGAGCCCCGCATCGGGCTCCTTGCTCAGCAGGCTTCCCGCTGCCTGCCACTCCCCCTGCTTGTGCTTACTCTCTTTCTCTGATAAATAAATAAGTAAGTAAGTAAATAAATAAATAAATAAATAAATAAAATCTTTTTTAAGAATGTAATATAAAAAAATCTTCAAAACTTTACTGTATTTTGTAATATAAAAATCCAATTCTGTATTTTATGCTACACTTAGCATTCCTTCATCACACAGTTCTATCACTGAGATACTTCTTTCATGTCATAAAAAAAATGCCAAAATTCAGAAAAACAGCTGTGTAGATGACTCACACTAGGTTCTGCTAGGAGAGAATTTTTGTAAAAGAGGCAAGTACAAGAGAGTTCAATTGTAATTATATGCCACAACTTTCCCAATTGAACACATTTCTTACATCACAAGAGAAGTATTCAAGTAATCAGAAGGGGCACCTGAGTACGCAACATGCAGTGTAAGGGAAACAGAAGGGGGCTTTCATCAAAGCAGTGAGGGTACAGCCCATGTGGGACTGACAGCCAGCAGAAGGACACACTCCCGCAATTTGCTAATGTCCACGTTTACCCTGTATGCTTCCTTTCTCCTCTGATAAAGCTGTGGCCTCAGTAAATGATTGGGAAGTAAGAAAGCAACTTACCTTGAACTGCAGACCATTTAAGTGTCCCAGGGTAAGATCCGATATTTTGATCGCCACGGGATAAATTATGGAGAAGCTGCAGTTTTGCCGCAGATGCGGGACTACCAGGGTAAACCTTCCGCTGGGGGTCTGGGAAATCACATTGCAGGCTTTGTGGAAAAACAAAATCACATTTTCACTATTTGGTATGCTGGGTTTTCATAGAAATTTATCCTATCCTTATTCTAGGCTCCTATTCAGGGTCTAGGGCCTTTGTGGACGAGAATAGGTATCACAAGGGCAATTTGGTCCCGGGAGGCAAGGGGGCTTCTAATCTCAATCTCAAGGAGTTACCTTGTTTACAACAATCGTGAGACATAAAGTAACAATCAAACAACACTAGCTAGTAGAAGTTCTAGAAACACTTCATTAACTAGGGTCCAAATTTGAGCTGTAAATCTGAAAGAATAAAAGCTCAAAGGTGAGGCCAGAACTCAAACCCTGCCTGCCAGAAAGCTTCATTCACTGAACTTGGAACCATAATGATATTTTTAAAATAATGAAGTCAATAAATAAAAAAATAGTTACAAAACAGGCTGAGAAAAACAGAAAGCAGGCTTATGTCTGAATAAATATTTGCTGGGTCAAGCTAATCCCAGATCAATGGAATGACTCAGAGGGATTAAAGTTCGTCACTGAATCCATTATAGTGCCTCAGAAGATCAGAAAAAGACTAAAGAAAAAAAATAAAATTTTACCCACCAAAAATTAATATCCTACCTAGCCTGGGAAATCCATTAAAAACTGTGAATTGATTTTCGGAGTAAGGACTAGGAAATATCCTTTAAGTCATTTCTAATGACAAAAGAATTTCCATTCAAATCATTCCTCACTTCAAATTTCTTAAGTCTGGTGCAATCGCACTACCTTTGAAAAGCAGATCTGACACTCCCTCCAAGTCCTGCCTTCCCACTAAGAGAGGGGGTCCACTTACGAAAGAGGTTGGGATCTGTCTTTATGGTGAAGGTGAATCCATTTCCTGGTTCATGAACCCGGAAGAAGATCATGGCCACATTCTGGGAAGATCTGATGCTCCTTCGGCTAAGACCACTGTCACAGAAATCTATGTACCGCTCGGTTGTGGGGAGAGGATGATCCTGGGAACTGGGGAACTTCTCCCCCTTAAGAACCCAACCATCAAATACCTTCCAACAAAAAAAAACACACAGATGTAGATGATCATTTCCATCAACTCCTGAAGTCACAGGTGTGTTGGAAAGGGGGGAGTTACCCAGCAATGAGCCTTCCGGCCTAAGTGGGCAACTGACAGCCCGCACTCCCCTGACCACTTGCTTTCCATCTGTATATATATTTTGACCAATACTTGTTTGCAAGTATTATTATTAATGATTTTTTTCTTCATAAACCTTAAAGTATCCAAAGTAAGTAAACTTTGTTATACTCTATTTTATAACTTCAGCCTCCTTGGTATGAAACTGTAGACAATATACATTTTTATCTTGGTCACGTTTTCCACACATCCCATCTTCCGAAGAATTCCACACAAGCATAATTTGGGTTTCAGCTTTCTCTTCCTTCTCCATGTCAACATATTAACAAAACATCTCAAAACTAGCAAAAGCAAAAAACAGGAGCAGCAACTTTACCTACTTGCCAAAGGCTGTAATATGCCCACTTCCCTCATTTTGTAACTCTTATTTCACGTTAAACTATCAAGAACTACTTCAACACTCAGACAGCCATGGCTGTTATGCCACTTAGGACCTTTTTTCCCCCTTCACTTTGTTCAAGTTCGTGGTTAGATGAAAGGTCAGGCTCGACGGACAGTACTCCTAAAGTCACCACAGGTCTCCAACGGAGTGAGTCCAACCTAGTGCACATTCGCAAAATCACCGGCTACAGATTACTTCATCACACTTAGTCGTCTTCTAGGGACTTGGACAGATTCCGAAATCACTCCACCTGGGAGCTTCTCACCGTGACCATCGCAAGGGGCCTGCGTAGCCCCATCAGCCGGCCCCAGCAGAGCGGTCAGACTCACGGGGACGACTAGGAGCGGGCATGTGGTACGGTTGGGGGACTTGTCCTCGCCTCCCAGCTGCCTCAGACTATGGACCCCCCTCTCAGCATCCGCCGCAGCCGCCAGAGCCCTCCTGCTTCCAAACCGGGTCACCCGGGCATTGAGGACGGCCTCCGCGAGCCCCGCACAGCTCCAGAGCCGCGGGCCGGCCTTCGAGCTGGGCGGGCCCTCCAGGTGGCCCCGAGCCGCGGTGCCAGTTAGTTGGTGTCATTTTTCATCTAACACAGCGCTCCACGCCACGAGTTCAAGTCCGGAAGCGCGGGATCCCGGGAGCGCACCGAGGGGAATTTAAAGCACTGCGACGCGCGAGGCCGCAGGCCCTCGGGGGCGGGGCGCGGTTCGCTCGGTCCGGGGGCGCTCTGCCCCTCGGGCGCTAGCTCCCCACCCGCAGGCCCCCGCTGGGCACCGCACCCCGGCCCGTCGCCCCTCAGGCCCCGCGGCGAGGGCGGGGCGGGCGGGATGCCTCACCTTCAGGAAGTCGCCGCCCTGACAGTCGATGGAGACCAGGTCGTAGTGGATGGTGATGAACTCCTCGGGCTCGGCGATGAGGAAGGCGGCGCAGTGCAGCTGCGGCCGATCGGCGGCGAAGGTGAACTGGCCCGGGAGGCTCAGCATGTCCAGGCACCCTGCGGGAGGGCCGGGGGGCCGGGGGGGGGGGCAGAGCTGCGGCCACCGAGGCACCGGCTCCCGGGCAGCCCGTCTCACGTGCTCCGTTCCCGACTCCCCGTCCCCGGCGGGACCCCAGATGGGAATCGCACCCCCCGCCCCGGCGGTGCCCGGGGCCTCCTGCCCTGGCGCCGAGCCCAAGCTCGCCACCTCCCCGCTGCCCGCGGACGCGCGCCGGCAGCCCGGACTCACGCAGAGCGCGGTGGTACAGAGGCGCCCCCGCCAGCTCCCGCTTCAGGCTGGCGCCGAAGAGCAGGAAAGGGTCGTGGTCCGCCGCTTCCCGCAGCTGGCAAGGAAAACGAGTCAGTCGGGAAAGTTCAAGAGGTGGGCAAGGGGACTGGCAGCGGGGCACTCTCCCTGCCGCGCAGCAAAGAGAATAAAGTGACGGGATACATCTCCCTTAGTCTTAGACCCTTTCCATGAGACCCAGGTATCCGCAGGGGCCAAGGGAAGGACGGAGAGGCAGGGAGGAAGACCAGTCCAGGGGAAACCAGGAGAAAGAAGGGGCAAAAGATAGGGAAGAAAGAGCTAACCCCAACAAAGGCTGAGAGCTGAGGCAGCTTATCGATCCCCCAGGGCTGGACACACACGCAGAAGATGTGATGGGTCAGGCTGGAGATAGCTCACCTCTAGGTACCGGTTCTCCCCTCTTAGAGCCATCAGGAAGATCAGAATGAAGTGATACTGAAGTTTGAAAGAAGGAGACATGCTGGCCTGACTTCTGCAGCTGGTATGCTCCTCCCTGAAGGTCTCAGGCTTTGCTTCCCACACCTTCGCCCAGGCTGAGAGCTAGAAGCTGGTAGGGTCCCTTTGCTGGGTCTCTTTTATAGAGCAGTGAGGAGGGGAGGCTCTCTGCCCCCTAACTGATCTGAGCTCAGTAACCACGGGTTACTCTGTCTCAGTGACAAAGTGCGTGCTGATGACGAGGGTCCCCCTCTCAGCCACAAATTTTCAGAGTGGTCCAGCATTATTCACCAAGAATGATTTCAGGCACTTACAACTTATTGAACTAAACTGTGGGAGAAAGAACGAGGGAAGGCTAGAGAATAAAGGAGGGCATTTTGCTGGATCTGCCAAATGCTGAATTATCTCCTCCTGTGGATATTTAGGGAATTCTCGGTGTTGCAAAGCAAAGTGACAAAGTTACACACATGCATAAAATACCCAAACACTTATAACCTTATCATGCAGGCTTGTCACAGAACCTTGGATGGAATCATGCTGGAGCCTCTCAGAGAATATAGTATTCGTGCAATTGCTCATGTCTCAGGAAAAAACATGAGGTGTTTTTAGTTATGAACAGAAGCTGAAGTCTGATTTTGCAGAAGATGGCTATAATGCAACTCAAGCTTTCTTTCTCTCCCTTCGTCTTTGCTTTATCCTGGTCCAGTTTCTTGTAAGCATTTCCCTAATGGAAAGCTAACTCAGGCATCTATGAACTTCTGGATTTTAGCTGAGCTTTGTCATTCAGCCCAAATGTATACATGGTAGGACACACTCCTGGGCCAGCGAACTGTGACCATGACCTTGGCATCCATCTGAACCAGTGAGAGATGAAATCATTGTATTTCACACCTTCAAATACGTAGATTATTTTGATATTCTGATAGAAAGAACTGCCCAGCAGCTTTATTATAACTGCTTCTCAGCAAATGTACAGGGCTAACAAATGACTTAGAGATCCAGAAATAAGCATCTTTGCTGATTAGATAGAAGACAGTTGTTTCCCCTTTATGTCAAAATTTGTGGGAAATATGGGGATGCTAAAATTTTGGCTTTCCAGTTTATGTGCTAAGCAAGGCAACTACAAATTCTAAAAACATCATGTTGTTTTACCTCTTTCTGCCTGATTGAAAACATGATACTACCTTTAGCTTTCTTTGTTATTAAAATTAGTACAAATAATGAGACCATAATACAAGTTTTCACTCAAGGAATGGTTATATTTTTAGTTTATAAATACTCAAAATTAAGCAGTAATATACCTAGTGGTGTTGGAACTTGATATTTTCATATTTAAGACTATTTGAGCTCTAGGGGCGCCTGGGTGGCTCAGTCGTTAAGCGTCTGCCTTCGGCTCAGGTCATGATCCCAGGGTCCTGGGATCGAGCCCTGCATCAGGCTCCCTGCTCTGCGGGAAGCCTGCTTCTCCCTCTCCCACTCCCCCTGCTTGCGTTCCCTCTCTCACTGTGTCTCTCTCTGTCAAATAAATAAATAAAATCTTTAAAAAAAAAAAAAGACTATTTGAGCTCTAAAGGGGCTGCCCCTTAGTTGTTCAACTGGAAGGCCTTCCTACCATACTCCAATTTTGGAAACAGTCCTCAGACCACAGAGAGCCTGAAGGGGAATGGTACCCAAAGGTCATGAACCCTGGGCACCATGTCCTTCTCCCCATCTTGGGACTGTTTAGATGTCTGAATTTCAGAGAGGATATAAAGAAACCTAAGAGGAATAAAACAGTAGAAAAATAAATGGTTTAAGACCAGTTTGCTTGGCCTCAAACATGTCAGGCCATCTTCAGGCCTCTCTCCCTCACTGTTCATGCCTGAGAAAGCTCAGGCACACTCATCCCACATGCCATGGACACATTTTCCTTTTCTGTCAACCTAGCTATGGCCTTGGCCTGCTCCCAGGATTTAGCCCAGCACTCAGCTTTGGAGACTCCTGTTTATCCCACTTTGGGGGTCTGGCTTTGGTAGCATCACCATGGAGATAGTCTTCTACCTCCTTCTGCCCCTACACACACACACACACACCAATGATGTTCCTACATGCATTCATGATGTTTTCTCCTCAGGGAGTACACACAGGAAGAGCTGGGATATATGAGGGCAAACATAGCCACAGATAGATAATATTCTATTTTATATAACAACCCACAAATTATCACATATGGATGAACTTTATTTCCACAAAAGGTGTCATGTTCACCAGCTTGGCAAATGTCTACTAATCCAACAGAAATTGTTTCTTGTGTTTTTATTATTATTATTATTATTATTAAGAGTAACAACAGAAGATATTTGCAAATGATATATCTGACAAGGGGTTACTATCCAAAATACATAAAGAACTCATACAAGTCAACATCAAAAAAACCCCAAACAATCCAAAACAAACAAACAATCTGATTAAAAAATGGGCAAAGGACACCTGCCTGGCTCATGCAACTCTTAATCTTGGGGCCGTAAGTTTGAGCACCATGTTGGGTGTAGAGATTACTTAAAAATAAAATCTTAAAAAAAATGAAATGGGAAGAGGAGCTGAACAGATATTTTTTCCAAAGACATAGAGACGTCCAACATATATACATGAGAAGAGGCTCAATGTCACTCATCATGAAGGAAGTGCAAATCAAAATCACAATGAGGTAGCACGTCATGCCTGTTGGAATGGTTAAAATCAAGAATACAAGAGACAAAAAGTGGAGAGGATATGGAGAAAAAGGAACCCTCAAGCACTATTGGTGGGAATGTAAATTGGTATAGCCACTGTGGAAAACGGTATGGAAGTTCTTTAAAAAATTAAAAATAGAAATACCATATGATCGAATAATTCTACTATTGGGTATTTACCTGAAGAAAATGAAAACATTAACTTGAAAAGACATATGCATCCCCTGTTTGTTGAAGTATTAAATATAATAGCCAAGACATGGAAGCAACCAAAGTGTCCATCAACAGATGAACAGATAAGGAAATGTATATATACATGATGGAATATTGCATAGCCATAAAAAAGAATAAGATGGTGCCATTTGAGATGACATATATAGACTAGAGGGTATTATACTAGATGAAATAAGTCAGACTGAGAAGGACAAATATCATACGGTTCCACCAATCAATCAGTCAATCAACCAATCAACCAACAAACAAACAGAATCAGAGCTGTAAAACACAGAGAATAAACTGATGGTTGCCAGAGGAGAGCAGGGTTGGGTGAAAAGGGTAAAGGGGATTCCAGTTATGGAATGAGTAAGTCATGGGAATAAAAAGCAGAGCATAAGGAAGACAGTCAATGATATTGTAATAGTGATTTAACAGGACAGATGGTAGCTACGCTTGTGGTGAGCATAGCATCATGTATAAACTTGTCAAATCACTAAGTTGTATACCTGAAACTAATGTAACGTGTGTCAACTCTACTCAAAGAAAAAAAAAAAGGAGTAAGTATAAAAACTAGAACCTATAAGGGAAAACTAAGAAAACTGAACAGGGGTCAAAGAGAAGCCAAGCCAGGTAGCCATTCTCTATGAGCAAAAGTATAAAAAAAATGGGTGAGGGGTGCCTGGGTGGCTCAGTCGTTAAGCGTCTGCCTTCAGCTCAGGTCATGATCCCAGGGTCCTGGGATCGAGCCCCGCATCGGGCTCCCTGCTCCATGGGAGGCCTGCTTCTCCCTCTCCCACTCCCCCTGCTTGTGTTCCCTCTCTCGCTGTCTCTCTCTCTGTCAAATAAATAAATAAATAAATAAATAAATCTTTTAAAAAAAATGGGTGAAAGCAATGGGAGAGTAATTTGGATGAGACAGAAGAAAAGTTTCTGGAAAATAAGTAGGTCTATATCCACAGACAAAAGAGGAATTGTTTTCATAAAAACATGTTTTCATGTTTTCAAACAACTAGCGTAATATTTCAAAGCCATTTGTTCAACCAAATTGACCGGTTATTTTGAAATACATTCTTAGTAAGCCCAGTGTCCCTAGGCATGCTGGTTGGAAATTATCTGCATATTCACCTCCATTCTCTGTACACATTTTTTTTCTCTCCATATTTTTTGAGACAACCTCTTTAATGTTGATGTTGGTACAGTCCCTGATCAGTGCTTTTTAGGTCTTAAACTACTGTTGGGTGGGGTTAAGACATTCTTTTTGTTAGGTAGGATTAAGACATTTTTTTCTTTCACAAATCCCCAGAGCAAACTGTCACCTGTGTTAAAGTCTGAAGATCAAGGTGGCCACACAATATAGACTCATATTCAATTCATGAACATGGGCAGTGGGGCAGGATTTTAAATTGTGCTGAGACTGAAGAGGCTCACCCAGACAATTTCTAAGTATGCAGGGGGGCACTCTGTAGTCACCCACATGGTCTATGATGTGATTGTGACAGCCAAGTGTTAAGCGTATGGAGTCTGCAACATCTTATACACTGAGGTATCAGGAAAAGCAGGAGATTACATAATCCCAAATCTCTTTCTATTGTAGGGTCAATCCCAAGACCCCCTTAAGTATTCCCTGCTTGTAGTAGTAAACTTTTTCTTTTGTTAATCACTTCAACAGAGAACACCATAGATACATGCTTTAGAAGACCTTCCTTTTTCCTTTCCTGACTGATATGAAAAGAAGTTGGGAAATGGTACATATGATTGAGTTCTTTAAGAAATCAAGATGACATGGGGTGCCTGGGTGGCTCAGTCGGTTAAGCATCTGCCTTCAGCTCAGTTCATGATCTTGGGGTCTTGGGTTCGGACTCCCCACTGAGTGGGGAGTCTGTTTCTGCCTCTCCCCCTGCTCGTGCTTTCTCTCTCGCTCTAATAAATGAATAAAATCTTAAAAAAAAAAAAAAAAAAGAAAGATGACTGAATAAAACTCATTGTTAGCCAACAACAAAAAACTAATTTTCAGTTGCATTCAAGCTGACTTGCTATTTGAATAAATTTGGCTATTTTTTAATGCAACCATTTTTTTTATTATGTTATGTTAATCACCATACATTACATCATTAGTTTTTGATGCAGTGTTCCATGATTCATTGTTTGCGTGCAACCATTTTTAATAGATAAGATTTCTTTTTCAGATGTGTTTGAGATCAGGAAGGAAGAAACTAAACAAATACACTTGGG